AAATAGTCAGATCTAGGCAGTGATGCAAAATCATCTGACTTGACCTCAAATGTCACTGGAACTAATCACCACAATCACACACAAATAAAGAATGTACAAAGGAACATAAGCGCACGTTTTATTTTGTGTAGGCATTTGATGGATGTCAACGAGTTCGAAGTAGTTAAACATTTCCATACGACCCTTTTGTTGTGCTCTCCAAGGCGAAGTCTCTTTGGGTTGCCATTGGAGGCGCATAATTAGAGCCCCTTGCAGAGTTTGTTGGCATTTGAGAGGAGGAGGATGCGGACGAGGTAGTGGAGAACGAGGAGGATGAATAGTGGTAGAAGGTGAATGAGGTGGCGGAGTATTAGAACTTGACACCGATATTTGGCAACCAGGCTTCCATTGGAGCTCATTTCGCCTTTCATCCACATTGAAGCATCTCGCACACTGGCATCAGTCACTTACTCGGAAGAGTAGCGCAAGAAGAAGTCGGTGAGGAGGGGCATGATGGTACTGACCACATAAGCGCACATCAACACGTCCTTGGCCAACTCCTCCCTTGGTTCGATCCTGGCCACAATGACATGTGGATGCTTGCCCTCCAATTTCTCAAACCCAACTTACATCAGCAGCATGACCTCCAACGAGTAAATATATCCAGCCGTTTTATTATATTTTGCTCGAGACAGGCAGATCGTCTTCCTAAGTGGTAATAGACTGCAATAATAAGAAGTAGAAGATGCACTCGGAAATTCTTCGTTATTTGAGCCAGGTAAATAGGGGTGATGGCAAAATCGATGGGTTTGAATGGCCGACGTGTACGTTTGGTAGACTCGAGGCATACAATGCTGGAATTATTCTTCCCTCACTTAGACTTTTTATCATAAATTAAAACTAACCATGGAAACGATTCTACCAGAGCCAGTGAAGTTGTCTTGTTCCAACCGCCATTAACACAGCCATAAAAGAAGCCATCACGTTGGTCATTATTGAACCATGAGAGCGACTAAAATGAAAAGACGAAACCCAAATAGCAACAACGGTAGAAGTAGTAGTAGACTTGAAGGAGAGAATAACCGTGTGTGCGTGTTTGCATTTATGTGTGCGCATTTGTGATTGGGTGGACAAGAGGTAAGCTGGGAATGATGGATTAACTCACTTACCTCTATTTCGTTTCTCGTACTTGATCTGAAAGTCACTTGGGAAAACAGCCTCAACAAAAAAGACACAGATATTCCCTGTGTTGTCTGAAAGGTAGACACATAGATCCTTCCTGATAAAGGAGGATTCATTGAGCGCCAACTTGTCACCTTGAGCTTTAGAAGTGCCTCTGAAGTAGTCAATTCAAAATGAAATATGGCAAAATGTGCACATTGATATGGCAGCAGTACTTTAGTAGCAGATTGCTGCTTAAATTACACTTGCGTTATCCGTAGTTATTTCGATGTCAAAGTAACCCTGTTAGTTAAGGCCACCAGAATTAATTAACCAGTACAGATTTTTAGTGAGTAAAGCGTTAATTTTCATTCATGATTAGAGCAAATACAAATCACAATTGAAAAATCGTTAACGTAATTTGAATGAGCATTAATATGTTTTAAGCTAAAAATACCACTGCTCACACTGCCTCAGAATATTCGAATGAGAATTGCGTACGGTGCAGCGGTGTTTGAGACAAAACGAAGCCGATCCTGTAGATTTGATTCTGAGAGTATTTCGGATTTGATCACGTTCACTTTATATTTAATGAAACGTTGTCAAAACGATAAATCTAGAGGTATAATATTGGGAACAAAGCAATAATCTACTCACTTTGTGAGTCCTGCTTCTGAACCATGACTATAGGTGTTGAATCAACATATTATTTTCAAATTTCCGACTCTTCGTTCTCTTAAAACTATGGTCTCTGTTCGTCGTATAGCTAGCCATCACTGACGCAGTTCATGCAGTTGACAGTATTAGTGTCATCCGGACACTGCTCAACTTTATTCGTTTTATTTAGGTTTTCAAACTTCTTCAGATTTCTAGAGGATGAAACGTTTGCTTTGAATGGTGATCAACCCACTCTATTTTATTTCGTATCTCATACTTGGTTAAAAAATCACTTGGGTAGACCCTGTCTCCACAAAATAGACACAGTCATCCCTTGACGTGTCTGGGATAAGAACTCTTTCACCAACTCCCTTATCAAGCAGTTTACATGGATTTCATTGATATTAATCCATCCACCTGGGAATTGTCACTGTGCGCTATGGAATCCCCTCTCCAGTAGACAATTATAAATGGTTAGTCTTTGGGGCTGAGTAAAAATATGACTTGAACATTTGAACAACACTCCTCCTCTCCTCCGGACACCCCACCACTTCGCCCATGTCCAACGTTCTCAACAAATCGTGACAACGGGACAGTGAAACATAAATCACCTGATTTGAGCTCAAAATTAGATTGACCCAATTGCCTTGGCCTAATTAAAAATGATAGCAATTTATCGCCCAAGTCAAATCACCGGAAACAAGTCGTAAGAACTAGATAGTGGAGCAAAATTATCTTACTTTACCTCAAAGGTCACTGGAACTAATCACCACAATCACACACAAATAAAGAATGTACGCGGGAACATAAGCTGATAAATTTGTCAGTGGGGATGCTCAGTTGCTTCTCAATCAGGTTCACTTTTTCGATAAAGAGATGTATTGCTTTAGTTCCTGTAATAAGCGGCTTGCAGCAATGCTGAATTATTTGCTGAATGAACATCTTGTAAGAGATAAGTAGGTCGAGCTTGTACTGCCCCATATGCTACCAGCTATGCGCTTCAGAGCGTTCAGTTTATTGTAGATTCCTTCTCATCTTTTAGCAATGTGGCCTTTCTATCTTGGCTTTTCAACAAACACAATACCACAGGGCATGAACATCTGCAAAAAGTAAACCCTTGACGCCCGTGACTGCCTGATCCAGTTCATTTTTAGCATTGTTGAAAAGTTGAATAGAGAGCCGTTTGTTACAGTTCGCTGTGGTAAGCCTGTTTACAAATGATTAGATTTGGCCAGATTGTTTTCATATCTGGCTTTACAATATTCTTTGTCGAATGAATGCCCTTAAACAGTTTTGTATGTTAATCATCATACCAATTTTTACCAATTTTAGACTTTGGTTCTCTTTCTGTACTGAGTTATATACTGATTTGAAATCGATGAATACACTCGTAAGAGTATTTCTTGCAACATAGTCATCTTCGATTTGCTGGTGAATAGTGGAAACTTGTTGGTTTGGTAAATTTTGAGGTCTAAGAACGACTGTTTCCTCTTTCCTTGGGCTGCAGCTTAGCTATTTCAGGCAATCTAGCTACATAAAGGAGAATCCGCCACAGATATTTCTAAGTCAATCACTGCTTCACGAGTGTGGAAATCCATTTTAGTGCTCTTATTCTAGAAGTGTTGGTCGACCATGAAATCACACAGATATGACCCTTCTATTATTGACAAGTAGCTTTCAAATATAAAAATAGTGTACACATGAAATTACAAGAATAAAGTAAACAGCCTCAGCAATCCTTTTTTTCATAGGTCAGAGATTTACTCGTTCAACAAATTAATATTGGAGACCTAATATGATTTTTTCCAATTTTAAATAGGGAAATATAAACTTAAATTAAACATTAAAATAACGACATAACATTCCCTATTTTGTCATTTTCAGGAGTTATAAGTGCGTTCAATCTACCTATCAATCCATTTGATCTAGGGCATCCGACTTCAACTTTCGCTACTTTACCTTGAGTTGTGTCGTGAAGAAGGACTTCCACACTTCCAGTGTCTCTAAACCATGTGCCTTGACAAGATACGTCATGCCGAATCATCTGGTGGTCTATAATATTCTTTCCACATGTTAGCTGTAAACTACCACAAATGATTACTTAGTTCAAATTAAAATTTGCTAGGCACAAGGCAATATTTGATTGGATTGCCATTTCGGCACGCACATATTCCCCATTGACTGCTGCAAGATAAATAATTGAATTTATGTTTATTTTAGTCAGTTTTTACTATTTAACACTGATAATGAATTGGTTGCCGTTCTCAATTTATTTACCTCTCAGTTTTCCTAATGCATGGATACAGTACTT